TATATATATATATATATATATATATATATATATATATATATATATATAAACACATACACGCACATTAATCTCATAGGCTGCATCCATTTTCAAATTATATTCATAAACTATGTACTCTTCCATTTTTTGATACATGTACAAAACCCTTCAAATTTATCACAAGCTTCCAAAACCACTTTTTCTGGCTCTGCCCACCACTCTTCTACATATATTGTAACATTATACCTACAAGTATATTAAAACCTGAAATCTTCATATCCTTTCCATATTTGCTTCTCTCATACCTTTCCTCATCTCAGTAAACAATTGAGCTCCATTCCTCTACTTGTTTAGGCAAAAAAACCTGAGTCATCCTAGACTCCTCCTCGAACTCCAATCTACTGTAGTATCTCTTGTGAGTTACCCTCAAAAAATATCATGAATCCAACCACTTTTCATTTCTTCCTTCCAACAATCTAGTGTCCATGCTTCCATTTTTGCCCAGCCCTAGTTTCCTCTCTACACAGCAGTAAGAATAATCCTTTTAAAAGAGAGTCTGCCAGGTTACTTTAGTGTTTAAAATGTTTCAGTAGTTCCCAATACCCTTCATCTAAATTCTATCACAGCCTGCCTCTCTGACTTTATCTCCCCTGGCTTAGTCTTCTTCTGCCATACCGGCATTCTTGACATTCCTCAAACATACCAAGCATGCCCCATCAGCACCTATACAAATACTGTTCCCTTAGTCTAGTTATTTGTATGGCTCCCTCCTTCACTTTTTTCACATACGTGCTCTGAAAGATCATAATGGACTCAACGCCATCTTTTATAAAACAGTGTTCTTCTCTGTCCTCTTATCCCTCTCCACCTGTGCCATCTACTTCTTATCTCTATCCTTTATCTGCTTTATTTTTCTTTATTACCTGTCACTAGATGAATTATATATCATATTGTTGGTCTTCCCCATTAGAATGTAAGTCTGCAGAGAGCAAAAATTTTTGCTTTTTTTGTTTTTCCATAGCTATCTCCCTATATCTAGAATACTGTATATGATAGCCTCAATGAATATATTTATACTGAACTGATTTAATATTTCTATCCATGATCCAATTTAACTCTGTCTTAAATAGATTTTCTCTAGAGAATTAGAGTATAAGTCAACATAAAGCCTGTTACAGAATAATTTTTTGGGAGCTCCTAATTAACATAATTTAAATAAAAATACTTACTCTGCTCTAATTTTACCACCCACCAATTAGATGGAGGCCTGGAAATTCTTTGACTTCTCATGACAGTTGGAGTCACTTCTTCAAGTACAAGTTCATTCTTCTTGGACCCAACTGAAAAATCCTTCTTTTCACGTTCCCTATTTTTTTTCCGATTATCTGTATGAAGAACATTGGTGCTACTTTTCTTACTTCCTAAATTAAAAAACACCATAAAAACAATTCATAATATACTGAACCAAAGTGTTTCCAGAAATTTAATTTTTAAAAAAAACCTCTCAATTATAGGAACTTCCTAAATTTATCCTGTGAGTTTCTTGTCATCTCTATTATTTAAAAGTAACATGTTCTCAATAAGATCTCTAACTTTCTGCCAGTTAAATGCAAACTTTTCACATTGCTTGATAATGGACAATATATTGCTGAGCCAAAAATAAACAAATATATTCTGAGAAAAAATGAAATATATGATTCCTTCCAACTACTTACCAATGTCCCAAGTAAAAAAAGTTAACTACTGTTTTTATGTTTCAAATAATTCATGATTTCTATTAACCTAGTTTTTGGAAAAGGCGATTTAAAGTGTGTTTTCAATAAAGACATCTTTCCTGTATGAAGGAAAGATTGTAAACAGAATTTTAAAAAGAGGAAATAGAATGAAAAGAAGCAATGACTATGGCAAGTTAAATAGTTAATTGAAAAGGTTTGGCATCAATAGTAATTTCATTTTACACAAAGGCAAATGGATAAAAAAAAATCTAACAGAAAAAATAGATAAATTCTAGTTTTATTTTTGTGACTAACAACCAGGAAGGAGGAGAAATCAGGAAAATACAGAATATTTTAATATAAATATTGCAGCTGAGATAGGCACAACCACTAAAATGAAATGGGTTTAACAATAGAGAATTTTACTTTTTCAGAAATAGGTTCAAAACATTAGATGTTAGTAGAGTAGATAAAATGGAAAATTTTCTTATCAAATAAATTAAGAAACCAGCATTTATTAAGCATCTGAGACAAAGATTACTATGGAGCCCAAAGGAGGAATTAAAATTATATCAAGTAAAAAAATAAAGAGTAAATAAACTGTATAAAAGTATGTAAGACCAACACAGCAGGTATTACATATATTATATATAACTACAGAATTAGTTATTAATTAGTTCTATTGGGTTGTCAGAAAAGTCATGACATATTTTTTCTATGTTTTTCATTGCAAAAATGCATCATGACTTTTCCGACAACCCAATATATAGAATAAAAAGAAAAGAAGAAAAACGGCTATACCACCATCACCTGGGAGAGACTGTTTAGAAATATAATAGAATCTTGGATCCTGCCCCACACCTACTAAATCAGTATCAATCAGTATTTTAACAAGATCCACAGGGAATTCAAGTGCACATGCAAGTTTGAAAACACTGTTCATTCCCCCAGTTAAATCTGATTGGGGAGTAGAGGGATAGAGGAAGAAATGAGCCAAATTACATCAAGATCCCTTACAGCAGTATCACTCTAATTCTATTTTGATAACAAGTTATAGAATTTAGAAATACAGTAATATCTTGGTTTGCGACCATAATTAGTCCCGGAAACAAACTACTCACATTGCAAGGCATTGCTTGTTTACCACATTAAAATATATTAGAAATGTTTACTCGTCTTGCGGAACAATCGCAAACCAAGTTACTTGCAATTCAAGGTTTTAATGTACTTTGAATTTGGAATAAAGAGAATGATTCATGCTTATAAAAGAAGAGAAAAATATTAGCCTTAATGACACTGAACAAGGCACAAAAAAGTTGATGAAAAAGGAAAGAACCTACTTTACCAATAATAGTACAAACAAATACTTTGGAAGTAATGACAATGGGAGATACTGGAAGAGCCACAACATACAAAGTAAAACTTCAACAGTAAAGATCTTTTAGGGAGTAGAAGTAAAAAATAATAAAGGATCAATTTACAAAACGCAAAACCAAATATATAGAACTTTCAATATGGCTGCCACTGATTTGCAGTTTAAGAAATTATCTGCACAGCTGCAAGAAATCTCATTGAAGAATTTCATTTTCCTGCTCCCTATTTCTCCATCTTCAGCTCTCTTCTTTAACTCCTTTTCTTCTGTCTCCCCCTCTTTTCCCCTTTCCTTTATGCTTGTCAAAGTATCCTCAGGAACTGCTTTAACAAATGAGAGGTGCTCATGATGACAGAGATTATTGCCCATGTTCATGAATCAATTAAAAAAAAAATCAATGTGAACAACAAATGAGGGGGAAAAGAACCTGATGGACAAAAAATGCTATCACCAAAAATTCATTTGGACAGTGATAAACAGAATATCATACAAAATCAAAAACAAACCACTTAAGAACATTATTTCAGAAACCAGTTTAGGATCAGGAAAAGTTAGAAATTGAATGACAGAATTTAGATAACTAATAAAGAACACATACAAAAGATACAATTGATACATGAACAGTTGGTAATACGAATCAAGTTGACTAAGAACTGAGGGGATATTGGTCAGCCAAGTGGCACATTGGTTAAGAGTTGGCTTGGGACGTCAGCTCTGAGCAGCAGGGCCCCGGTTTGGATCCCACATGAGGACCAGTGATGCTGTACCCTCTACAGCTAAGATGGTGAACAACAGCTCAACCTGGAGCTGGGCTGCCGTGAGTCGCCGGCGACAGCGTAGGCTGCAGTGGGGTTGGCCGGCAGCAGGCATGAGCTTTCATGAGCAGCTGTCCAATGGACGGTGAGCAACTGCCTCACCCGAGAAGAATGCAATGATAATACCAACATGAGCCAGTGAAGTGACGTCCTACACAACTAGACTGAAGAACAAAAGGACAGCAACTTGTCTGTTCCCCTTCCCGCATTCCCCAATAAAATCTTAAAAAAAAAAAGAATAACTTTTTTCTCTATTACTTAAAAAGTGGTACAAAAAAACATAAATTGATCTATTCTTCATGACCATGTCATCATTACAAACCTCCATCACTGTATAATAATGACATAATGAGGGTGGCCACACTCCACGTTTATCTGGGACAATCCCAGTTTACCCTTACTGTCTCTGACATCCTCTCTCATGCTCAAGTGTCCCAGTTTGGATGATAAAAGATATAGTTACCATTTGGGGAGAACTGGAAAAAAAAAAAAGATATAGTTACCCAAGATCAAAAGATCTATTGAGGTATTAGTCAGATCTTTTTTTTTTTTTTTTCAAAGATTTTACTGGGGACTTGGGGGAGGGGAACAGCATTGGGGAATTGGGGAAGGGGAACAGACAAGTTGCTGCCCTTTTTGTTCTTCAGTCTAGTTGTGGAGGACGTCGCTTCACTGGCCCATGTTGGTATTATCATCGCCCTCTTCCTGGGTGAGGCAGTCACTTGCTGGCCATTGGATGGCTGCTCACAGCAGCTCATGGCAGTTTCACAAAAGCACACGCCAGCTGCCAGCCAGCCCCACTGCAGCCTATGCCGTTGCTGGCGGCTCATGGCAGCCCAGCTCCAGGTCGAGCTGTTGTTCATCATCTTGGCTGTAAATGGCGCAGCATCACTGGCCCTCACGTGGAATCCGAACCGGGGTCCTGCTGCTCAGAGCTGGTGCCCCAAGCCAACTCTTAACCAACGCGCCACTCGGCTGGCCCATTAGTCAGATCATTATTGTGTTTCCCTTTATCATTCTGTGAATGTATGTTTATCTGTTGATCTAGACACCCCCCCCCGGAGTGATCTTTTTTTAATGGTGAAAACTGTGTCTTAGTAATCTTTATTTCAGTATTTAATATTGTGTCTGGTATTTAATGACTGTTAGATAAATGACTAAATGATGGAATAGAAGAGTATGGATTTTTATCCTATAAGAAATAGGGCCACACCATCCTGGGTTTTTCTTTCCCAATTTATATTTAAATAAACCTCAAGAAGGTATGATGCTGTCTTATTTGAGTTCTTTTAACTACCTGGTTTATTAGTCTTCCTCTTTTACTTCACCCTTTATATGTGCTTGCCATGTTAGAAGTTACATACAAACAAAAAAAAAAATCAAAGGACTTGGAATTGAATCACATGTAAAATAAAGAGATCCCAGAAAACAGTCTATAGGCTTTTTAGGCTCTGTGTGGATTTAGGTTTACTTTGCCTACTTATCAAAGCTAAACAGGAATATTACAAAAACATAAAGAGAATAATGTTCACAGTTATATTTAATATAAACACTTACCCACAGGTGGCATCTGTTTTTTGGAAATACGAACATTTTTCATCTCTTCACACTCTTGCATATTTCTGTCTGAATCTCTCTGTGACTTGTCTTGGGCAATATGTGACATATTTAGATTCTTATCTTTAGACTGCTCCACATCAACCTGTTCTTCAACTACATTGGCCTCAACTTTTCTTTTCTGTTTTTCTTTTCTAGTCCTTTTGCTTCCAGATGACTTTTCTGCATTCTCAGAATACATTTCATATTTTGTGGATCTACAATTACTTTCCATTTTGTCTGTCAAAGCACAATTCCTACTCAGATTTTTTTGTTCAGAAGGCGGAGATTTCTCTACTGGGTGAGCTTTGCTGGAATGTTTGTCACTTGTCAAAGTCACAGGTGATACATTGCAATGTTTTTCTCTTGACTTCTTACTTTGATGGAGTGCAGTGCTGTCAGTAGGGTATACTGTGCGTTGTTTCTGAGACACAGACTTCCTTGGTATAGTAATCCAAGGTCGACTGGCAAAACTTCTATCTGATTCATCAATTATGAATTCATCCTCCAACAACTTTGTATCATTTGCAGGAGATGAATGAGGTGGAGCAGTTGCTGTATGCCTAACAATAGGACTAAAAAAAAGATGTCACGATAATTAATAGCTCAAAAAAATAAAGCTTTTACCTTTACTTAGTGAAGAAAATAAAATAATCGAAGTGAAAATCTACATATCTTTTAAACAGCAGTTCACGTGTCTCAATTTTCCTTTACCCTTAAAAATCTGTCCCTCCTTTCACATTTCTATAATATCTGATCACACTCATTTATAACACTAATGGGAGCACAGAAATTTAGAGCTGAAAGAAACCTACATATCAACAAATTTGATGCCCCTCACCCATTATATATTAAAAAGTTGAAATCCAGATGTGTAAATATAGCCCAGATACACTGATAGTCCAAAACCGCATGCCATTTTTATGTTATATATGATTATATAACATTATAATATAAATTACACACACACACACACACACACACACACACACACAAATTATGTTTGTATAGATGTCTTTTGGGGCCTAAAGTTCTTCACATCTAAATTGAGTTTCTAGACCTAATTCTAACACATGGGGTTGGGGGGTTGTTTTCCCCACACCAACAAACAATTCCCAGACACCAGGAGTGTGTCTGAGAATTCAACTCAATTCTGATACTATCTACCCAGAGATAGTGTCAGATTCCACAGGTTAAGGGTTCAGTCCTACAAAACTGTGCCCACATATACATACACTTCAGGCACCAGCCACAAGCCCAGACTCTTGCTTCTGACTGACTAGTTTCAGACTGGAGGTTCTCAACAACCTCCTCCAAGTCAGAATGCCAATTCCAAGTCCAGATTGTCACCTGTACTTCCAACCAAGTGGCTATAAATGAGAAGTTTCCACAAACCCCTTCTTGGGTTTGATTAATTTGCTAGAACAGCTCACAGAACTCAGAGAAACATGTTACTAGATTACTGGCTTATTGTAATAGATATGATATAACTGAGGAACAGCCAGATGGAAGAGATGCATAGGACAAGACATGCGGGAAGGCATTCCATGCTGGCCACATCTCCAAGTGTTCACCAACCCAGAAGCTCTCCAAACCCATCCTCTGGATTTTTAATGGAAGTTTTCTTAGGAGTCATGATTGATTAAATCATTGATCTTTGATGACTGGCTCAACCTCCAGCCCCTCTCTCCTCCCTGAAGGTCTGGAGTGGGAGTAAAAAACTCCAACACTAATCACATGATTGGTTCCATTGGTAACCAGCCCCCATTCCTACAAATGCTTTCGAAAAGTCACCTCGTTAAAATAACAAGACACCTTTCTACACTCTCAACACTTAGGAAATGCCAAGAGTTCTGGGGGTTGTGAGCCAGGAATTGTAGACAAAGACCAAACAGATATGAGAAATATATTCTGGTCATCTGAATGATCAACTATATATTGCTTATAAATCACAATATTGTAAAAGCCAAAACAAGATTATTTCTCAGACACCTTCAAGTCTAATATCCTACGAAAATACTTATAAATCATATAATAAATTACATTATATAAAAATTCATTCCCAGGTGGAATAATTGACACACATTTGCAGAAGTTTCAATATTATAATCATGGTATAGAAATAAATGGAGTGTATATAGAAAGGTAAGTGCACTGCATTAAATAGCACCTATTCCAATTCGTTGGGAAAGCTTTCCAGGGAAGGAAGAAATTATTCAAAGAATAATAACCCTCCAAAATTAATAAATTAAAACCTAACCCCCAATGTGATGGTATTTCAGGGTGGGGCCTTTAGCAGGTAGTTAGGTTATTAGGCTGGAATGGACATGAATGGAATTAGTACCCTCATAAAAGAAAATGGAGTGCCGGCCAAGTGGCCCAGTTGGTTAAGAGTTTGCTTAAGAGCATCAGCTCTGAGCAACATTCCCACATGGGCCAGTGAGCTTCCTTCGCCTGAGCTGTGCCCAAGCTGAGCTGCCAACAGGTGGCAGGATGGCTCAGCTGGTGAGAGCATGTGCTCCTAATGACAAGATTGCCTGTTCAATGGTGGACTATGCCCACCCATGGCTGGGACTGAACTCAGCACCTTGAGCTGAGCTGCCGCCCAGATGGCTCAGTGAATAGAGCCTGCGCTCTTAACAGCAACGTTGCCGGTTCGACTCCCGCATGAAAAAAAAAAAAAGAAAATAGAGATTGGTACATGAGGGAGGAAGGTGTAACAAAGCAGGAACAACGGCAAATGACCAAGCTGGTAAAAACAGTTAGCTACGTGAAGGCCTTAAATACCAGCTGACAAATCTAAAATTTATCCTATAGGCCAGTGGTTCTCACCCTACTGCCATTAATTCTAGTTAACTAATGTGCAGCCAGTTAAGAATCAGTTTTGACACTGTAGAACCACTGAAGCTTTTTCAGTAGGGAAGAACAGATTAAAATCTATTTTGTAACTATCCTTTTATTGATACAATCATAAGAAACTGAAAAAAGATTTATAGCCTTAATAATGAAATACAGTCACCCTGAAATAATTTTATTTTTAAATACTGCTTCATTTTTTTATATTATACAAACTAGAAAGTGCTGATGAGCAGAACCAGTGAAAGCTGAATAAACTTAATTTCTATCACATCTAATTAGTACCTATTAAATGAGGGTTTGGGGATGATTTACTGGTAAGAAACTACATTCTCCTTACAGGTTAAGCATAATTTAAATTAATATTTTGTCAATTAAGATTCATTTCCAGTTAAATAGCATTAAGAATCCTTAGATACTGTTCATAAAATATGAAAGAAAATATGCCTCAAAAGACAATTTCGTGGGCAGGCCGAGTGGCGCGATGGTTGAGAGCTCGCTTGGGATGCCAGAGGGCCCTGGTTCGGATCCCACATATGAGGGCCAGTGACACTGCCCTCTACAGCTAAGATGCTGAACAACGGCTCAACCTGGAGCTGGGCTGCTGTGAGTCGCCGGCGACGGCGTGAGCTGCAGTCCCTGTGGCAGTGGGTTGCCATGGGCTACCGTGTGTAGCCAGCAGCCAGCGTGAGCGGCCAGCAGCCGCAGTGAGCGGCCGTCCAGAAGCCGGTGACTGATCTGCCTCACCCAGGAAGAGCGCAATGATGGTGCCAACTTGGGCCAGTGAAGAAACATCCTCCACAACTAGACTGAAGAACAAAATGACAGCAACTTGTCTGTTCCCTTCCCCCAATTCCCCAGCACTGTTCCCATCCCCCCAATTCACCAATAAAAATCTTAAAAAAAAAAAAAAAGACAATTTCGTAATAACTCACCTGGATTCACTTTTTCTTTTTAAAGTTTCTAAAAACAATGTTGAAAAACTCTTTTTAGCTTGTGGTTGAATTTCATATTCTGAATCTTGTATTATTTTCTGAGGTGTTCCTGCTGCTTTTTTCTCTTGTGGTCTTTCTGATACTTCTAGCTCTACATCTGATACTTCATTCTCTATTTCTACTTTCTTCAAAATATCTTTATCTTCAAAGTTTAACCTAAAATGTTAAAAAGAAGGCAAGATAAATTTTCCCACAGTTTCTTGAGTTATGAGTTTTCCTGAACTCCCTTACAGTGACAACACAGACCACTTACAAAAATTTCCTCTGGGCTTTTGTTTAAAATTTATACATGCTGATTTGTAATTTCTCATACAAAATATACAGGCAAATTGCTGAGAAAAATTGTTTTGTATTTGTCAATAAAAAAATTAAAAAATGGTTAAATCATACACCATGGAAATGTGCAGCTTATAGCACTAATTCTCAAACATTTAATATGAATTGAAGCATTTGAAAAGTCTTATTAAAATGTGATTCTGATTCAGTAGGTCTAGGGCAGCATTTAAAATTCTGTACAGCAGGTTCTCAAATAGCAGTTTCATTCAGCATCATTTCTTTATAATGTTGATGAGAAGCCATAGGAACTTAACTCTTATTTATATCAATTAGCCTATGGTAAAACGTCATTTCACTTAAAGTCACAGAACCTATCAATAATGTTTAGTGAAGACTTACTGTGTTACTAAGACGCTTCCAGATAATGCCACTGCTCTTGGTCCTTAGCCACAGACCACACTTTGAATAGCAAAATCTTAGAATGTACTTAACTCCTTGGTTCCAAAAAACAAATAAAACCCTAAACAGAAATTATGCTCACTGCAGAAGTCCCCAGTAGCAAAAGCCTTGAACGGTCTACTTTGCTTCTTAAAGGTCAAAGAGAAAGCCCCAAGAAATGGACATGGGTTTACCATGACATCCTTAATAATACTTATCCTCTGCTACCCTAAGAAATGATACATACCTACCTTTGTAATTACAAACAACATAGAGGAAACACAAATCGTTTCTCTTAGGAAGTTACAGAAAACTTATTATCAGAAAAAAAAAGAATACGTTTCTCCATAGACTATAGAAAAGTTATTAATATTAACCCCAGCTTTCCTGAAGTAAACTTGAAGGCCTTCCTATTATATACACAAGGTTGGACAATTACGTGTGCGAACTTGTTTTCAACAATGTTGCTAACCGTTTTTGATATCAGAGGGATTACTCATTATGAATTTATACCAAATGAACAAACAATTAACCAAGTTTACTATTTCGAAGTGCTGAAAAGGATGAGTGAAAAAGTTAGACAACTTGAAGTTTTCGCCAACAATTCATGGCTCTAGCATCACGACAGTGTACCAGCTCACATGGCACTGTCTGTGAGGGAGTTTATAGCCAGTAATCAAATAACTGTATTGGAACACCCTCCCTACTCACCTGATCTGGCCCCCAATGACTTCTTTACCCAAAGATAAAGTAAATATTGAAAAAAAGACATTTTGATGACATTCAGGACATCAAGAGTAATACAACAGCTCTGATGGCCTTCCAGAAAGAGCTCCAAAATCGCTTTGAAGGATGGACTAGGCACTGACATCGGTGCAGAGCTTCCCAAGAGGCATGCTTCAAAGGTGACAGTAGTGATATTCAGCAATGATGTAGCACATTTTTTTAGGATGAGTTCACGAACTTGTCAGACCTCATATATTGACTATATACTGAATGTATGTTGTGTTCGTCTCATAACATGATACTATACCTCAATACTTACTATAAAATACATAAAAGATTAAATTATGCACTTTTTAACATAAAAGATAAAATTTTTATAGTAGGATTGATATTATTTAAATAAATAAAAGTTACCTTTTTTTGGTTTTCGTAGAAATCTCTGTATTTGAAGACAGTATATTTATTGAATTTTCAAAAGTATAGGTCTCTGTCTTCTGGGCAACAGGTGAAATAGCATTTTGCAATACAGATGTTTTTGCATCCAAAAAAACAGAAGGCGAGCCAACAGATAAATAAAATTCCTCATCAGCTTCATTGCAATGATCTTTTAGTTTTTTACTTGACATTTTTCTTGAGTCACGTGTATTTTTAGAATCAACATCAGTTGCCAAAACTTTCTGATGAAATTCATGGGACTCAGCTAGAAGAAATTATATGACGATATTAAAATTTTTTAAATAATATGTGCTTTTAAAAAGTACCAAATGTGCTTTTTAAAATTCATCAACAATTTAATTAGAAATAGTTTTCAGAAGACTCACAGATCATTCAGTTTATAATCAGAGATCTATAGTTAAAATACATAGGCATGTACTTTAAAAGTTGTAGTTTATGAAATTAATGAACTGCAATATGTCCAAGCTCTTAAGTTTTGAAATGATAGGAATCCTCAAACATAGAAAATTCACAATTTTATTGATACAATCAATTTATTCAAGATCTGAATAAATCTATGCACAACTTAAATAATGAAGTAATCTTAGTGAAATTATGAGATTCAATCTTTATATTAAGAGTCAGTAAATAGGGCAGCTAGATGAGCACATATTTATACATATACATACACATATATAACAGATACAGAGATATATACAGTATACAGACAGATATGTAACAGATAATATATGTGTGTATATAGAGAATATATATAAATATAAATATATAAATAATATAAATATAAATATATATATTCAAAGAGAATATATATATTCTATTAACCTTCAACCTTCAAATATCAAAGAACAAGTAGAATGGCTGGGTAATATTAATACTGATTCATATTAATACACAAAGATTAAAAATTAAAAATACAGGCCGGCCGAGTGACACGACGATTAAGAGCTGGCTTGGGATGCCAGAGGGCCCCAGTTCGGATTCCACATATGAGGGCCAGTGACAATGCCCTCCACAGCTAAGATGCTGAACAATAGCTCAACCTGGAGCTGGGCTGCTATGAGTAGGCTGCAGCTCCTGTGGCAATGGGTTGCCATGGGCTACCGTATGTAGCCAGCAGCCAGTGTGAGCGGCCCGCAGCCGCTGTGAGCGGCCGTCCAGAAGCTGGCAACTGATCTGCCTCGCCCGGGAAGAGCGTGATGATGGTGCCAACTTGGGCCAGTGAAACAACGTCCTCCATAACTAGACTGAAGAACAAAAGGACAGCAACGTGTCTGTTCCCCTTCCCCCAATTCCCCAGCACTGTTCCCATCCCCCAATGCCCCAATAAAAATCTTAAAAAAAAAAAAAATTAAAATACAACCAAAAATGGCTTTTGATTCTGGAACAAGATGACATAGACTCAGTTTTTCCTGCTTTTCACTCTAAATACAACTAAATTCCCTGATAATTATCCATCAAAAACAATACCAGAACTCTGAAAGCTATAAAGAAGAAGGTATATTTGCTAGGAACCTCAAGTCTTAAGCAACAGACAATGTGGTGAATCCCCTGGGTTTTCTTTATATCTCCCATATACCTCCAGGCTGGGCTCTCGAGAGGACTACAACCCAGTAGAACCCATAGGTATAACAGGGGGGAAAACACTGCATTCTCTGACCAAAAGACTGAGAGAAGGGAAATACAGCAGAAACCTAGTAGGAAAACTCAAACTCGCACTTCACAACCCAGGCAATGGGCACTCCATTCAGCAGCAATGGCAAAGCAGCAAAGCCCTAGGCAGGGGCAGGCTCTACTCTATAAGTACTATGGGTCAGCAGCAGCAGAGGAGCACGGCCCTGGGAGAACCCGGTCCCTGCTTTAACAATCAGGGATGGCAGGCCATGTGATACACAGGAAGCCTGTGACCTTCCCAACTACTGCTTCACAGACCAAGGAGACATTCTGATCCATTGGCAGTATTGCCACCCCAGGTCATCCCAAGACCCTCCTTCAAACAAGGTCACCAATGGATAGTGTAATCTGAGGCTGGAAGAGCACAGGAGAGCCCTGCACCCCCTATCCTGTCCTACAGCCAGCCATATAAGGAGATCCATTCCCAGCAGCTTCTGATCCCAACCCCTTTGGGTGAATAAGGACATCAGGATGCTCAGGAAAGCACCTTCCATCCACTCACACAGCACCAGCAAGAAAAGCTGAAATCCCAGCAGTATCAGAAAATGAAACAGACCAAAATACCACCACTAGGACTCTGAACACTTAACTGTCATTGGAAATAAAATCCACAAAAGTAGGCAAGAACCTACACATTAAACCAAAACAGGGCAACTATGTGCTACAACAAAAGATCTAAATACAATCAAGAGTTTCCTAACATAATAACCAAAACTTTGAGGATACAATCAAAATGATTCTTCATACCAAAAACCAGAAAAAACACAACCTGAACAAGAAACTAGGATGAGTGGATACAAGTGGCCAAAGATGAATCAGATGCTGTAATTATTTAACAAGAATTTTAAAGCAGCCATTATAAAAATGTTTCAACAATCAATTATAAATTCTCTTGAAACAAATGAAAAGACAGAAACTCCTAAAGATATAGGAATTACAAAAGGAAGCCAGTTTTTTGGAGTTTAGCCATTCTTACAGGTGTGTAGTAGTGTTTAATTTTTGTTTTAATTTAAAATTCCCTAATAACAAATCAAAGCCACAGTGAGATACTGCTTCACACCCATTAGAATGGCTATTATCAAAAAAAAAAAAAAAAAGCAGAAAATAACAAGTGTTGGTAAGGATGTAGATAAACTGTAATCCTTCTGGACTGCTGGTAGGAATGTAAAATGCTGCAGCCACTATAGAAAAGTTTGGTGGTTCCTCAAAAAATTAAAAACACAATTACCATATGATCCAATAATATCATTTTTGGGTATATATTCAGAAGAACTGAAAGCAAAGACTGCAAGACATATTTATACACCCTTGTTAATAGCAGCATTGTTCACAACAGACAAATGGTAGAAACCACCCAAATGTCCACTAACGGATAAATAGATAAAACAAAATGTAGTATATACTCATACTTACAATGGAATGTTATTCAGCCTTAAAAAAAAGGAAATTCTGACACATGCTACAACATGGATGAACCTTGAAGACATTATGCTAAGTGAAATAAGCCAGCTGGAAAAGGACAAATATTGCATGACTCCACTCCTATGAGGTCTTTAGTCAAATTCAGAGACAGAAAGTAGAAAGGTGGTTATCAGAGGTTGGGTGAGTAGTGGGGAGGGGGATTACTTAATACATACAATAGTTTGGTTCCGCAAGATGAAGAAGTTTGGTGGGTGGATGGTGGTGATGGTTGCACCAATTCTTCAAAAACCAAACTATCAAAATTCTGCCAAGATGAAATAAATAACCTAAATATTGCTATAACTATTAAAGAATTGAATTTGTAACTTAAAAGCTCTTGAAAAAGAAATCTCATGGACCAGATACTATCACTGGAAAATGTTATACCAAACATTCAAAGAAGAATTAAAACCAACTTTATACACTCCCTTCCAGAAATCAGAAGAGGGAATAATTTCCAACTCATTTTATAAGGTGAACAGCATTACCCTGATACCAAAACCATACAAATAGAGAAAAAAAAAAAAAAAAACCCACAGATCAGTACCTCTCATCAACTTATGTGCAAGAAAATCTCAACAAAATTTTAGCAAATCATATCCAACAATGCATAAAAATTAGCAATACACCATAATTGACATTTATAGACAAGCACACTCAACAACAGAATATATTTTTTCAAGTATCCCTGAAAAATTCATAAATATAGGCAGTATCCCAGGTCATAAAATAAATCTTCAAAAACTTAAAAGAAATGAAATCACATACTGTATACTACTAAGCCATACAAGGAATCAAGATTAGAAATCAGTAAGAGAAAGAAAACAGGAAAATCGCTAAGCACTTGGATTAACGCACTCCTAAATAATCAACGGGTTAAAGAGGAAGACTCTGAGTATATTTAAAAACTACATAAAAATAAATAAAAATGAAGAGAAAACACAACACATCAAAATCTGTGGGATGCAGCTACAGCAATGCTGAAAGGGAAACCTATACCACTAAATGAATACACTTGGAAAATGTATTCACTTAGCATGTTCCCAAGGTTCTTCCCACATTATAACATGTATCAGAACTTCATACCTTTTCATAGCTATACATATATACACATATTGTTTATCCATTCAACTGTTGATGGACACTTGTTTCCACCTTTTGGGTATTGTGAATAATGCTACTATGAATATTGGGGTACAAGTAGCTCTTTGAGTCTCTGTTTTCAATTCTTTTGAGCATAAACCTAAGAGTAGAATTGCTGGGTTACATAGCAATTCTAAATTTAATTTTTTGAGGAACTACCAAACTGTTTTCCACAGGGGCTGCACCATTACATCACTAGCAATACACAAGGGTTCTAACTTATCCACACCTCATCAATTGTTTTCCTTTAAAAAAAATAACCATTCTAGTATGTATAAAACTGTATCTCATTTGATAGATCTTTTGATTTGCATTTCGCTAATGACCAATAATGCTGAACATCTTTTCATGCCTTTGCCCTTTTTTGAGTTGAATTGTTTATTTTTGTTGATGAGTTGCAGGAATTCTTCATATATTCTGGATATAAATCCTTTATTAGATATACTATTGGCAAATATTTTCTCCAGTTTGTGGGCTATCCTTTCACACTATAGACAGTGTCCTCAGACTACCGTTTTTGAAGTACATAAATATATAACACATGTTCTCATGTAGAATACCTAAATAATATAAAACTGTGAACGCTCACGAAATAACTATACAAATTAAAAGCAATTCTAGTTAGACTCCCAACAAAATTTTATTGGGAATTAGATAAAACTAAAACTTAATTGGGAAAAAAAAGGGTCTGAGAATGGCAGAAGAATAATAAATATAAAACTAAATGCCTTTATATCAGCACATATTATAAATCTACTATTAGTAGAACAGTATTGTGTTGACATTAAGAATAAACAAATAAATCAAAATTCAAAAGTATATTGAATGAGACGTGAGATTTAATACATAATAAAAGTAGTACATTCAGAAGGGAATTAATTATTAAATTAATACATGGGCCTGGCACCACTGACCATCTGGAAGAAAATACAATTGTAACATTATGTCACATAATATAGCAAAACACATTCCAGATGGATTAAAAATTTCAATTAAAAAAAGATGTTAAGATGAAAATCTAAGATATTATGTATATCATTCACACATGTGACAACTGAAATTTTAAAATTTACCTATCATATAGTTACAGATATTATAAACAAAATCTGTAATATTCAAGGGATCAATTGGAAAAATGTTACACCAATTACAGATAAATGATTAGATATTCGATTCAAAGATCTCTCATAAACAAGAAAAACAAATGGGAAAAGGATATGAATAGACAACTTAGATAAAAGCAAATTCAAATAGCCAATAAATCTATAAAAAGGTATTCAAACTCAGTAGTAATCATGGAAATATACTAAAGTAACAATGATATGATTTAATACTGATCAAACTGGCAAAAATGTAGAATAGTAAATAATCTATCAAATAAAAAGTACTTTCTTGCATTGTTGGTATGAAAGAAAAGCGTAAAAGCCTCTTCTAAAAGTGTGTGCATATGCGCACACACAGATTTATACATGTTTTCATTTAGGAGCACCAACTGAGTATGGAAGGATTCAAAGGTTACCTCTGCAGTAAAATAGGAGTAATGATTAGAAGCTTTCTCTTTTAAATCTTTGACTCTTACATCAAATGAAGGACTTTTCTAATATGGAAAAATGCAAACAAAAACTTTTAAAAGTAGCAGCACATGTAAATTCACTAAAGTAAATGGAATGAAAGGAGGAGAGAGAAAAAGAACAGTAACTATATATATACAAATATTGAATGATTATGATGTATACCTGAAATTAATTTAATGTTATATGTCAATTATACCCTAATTTACAAAAGGAAAGAAAAGGGGCCAGCCGAGTGGCGCGTTGGTTAGGAGTTGGCTTGGGACACCAACTCTGAGCAGCAGGGCCCCAGTTCAGATCCTACATGAGGGCCAATGGCGCTGCGCCCCCTACAGCTAAGATGGTGAACAACAGGTCGACCTGGAGCTGGGCTGCTGTGAGTCGCCGGTGATGGCGCAGGCTGCAGTGGGGCTGGCTGGCAGCTGGCGTGCACTTTTGTGAGCAGCCGTCCAATGGCTGGCTAGCGACTGCCTCACCCAGGAAGAGCACAACGATAATACCAACATGGGCCAGTGAAGCAACGTCCTCCACAACTAGACTAGGCGCAAGGGGACAGCGGCTTGTCTGTTTCCCTTCCCCGATTCCCCAACGCTGTCCCCCCCCCAATTCCCCAATAAAATATTAAAAAAAAGAAAGAAAGAAAGAAAGAAAAATGCTCAAGCAGCCCATGGAAACTTCCACGAGGGAAGAAATTAAGGCTTCTTGTCAGCAACCAGCTCACATGAGTGAGTGATCTTGGAAATATCTAGCCCCAGTCAAGCCTTCCCATGACTACAACAACCCTGGCCAATGTCTTGACTACCACCTCATGACAGATTTCAAACCAGAACCATTTAACTAGGCTGCACTGAATTCCTGACCCAAAGAAAATGTGCGAGATAAAAAATATTTATTGTTGTTCTAAAGTAAAAAGAAAAATCTATTTGAAAACTACTAAAGCTATAGTCCCTATAATTCTTGTTTAATGAATGTCTCTTGCTACATCCTAGTAAGCAATGCTACCACTAAAACAAAGAAACAAATAATCAAATGAAACTTATTATTCATGTTTAAAAAAGAACAAAAAAACAAAACACTAACCATGGACTTGAAAGGGAATCATAAGCAACTCCATTTTACAATTCTGCCTGAGCCTACCCTGACTCTGTCACTCAAGCCAACACAGGAACCACCTTCAGCATTTGTCACTTTTTAAATATATCTAGGCAAATAACACCCATGGGCATGCCACCAACCTGATCTGCTGACAGCTTTGCTTGGATTTATAGTGAACTGCAGAGAGGCTCGTTCTTTTCTTGAAGAAACTGGAACTGACTCTGAATGGGATTTCTGACGGTGGGTTTAAAAGGAATACAATATTAGATCTACTCTATTAAAATTACCAATTTTGATTAAATACTTTTGTTTTTAAATTGGAAAAAAACAAGTATTTAAAAACAATAAACCAGCTGATGGAGCTGTATACTTAAATAACTACTTTAGAAAGCAGTTTGGCATTATCTAGTAAAGTTGAAATTTCAAATAACCTATCACAGAAACAATGCTGCTCTGAACAATGAAAACCTATTCTGACAGAAGACTGGATAAATTATGGTATAGTCATATAACAATATCACATATACAACAGAAAAATGAATAAACTACAGCAACATGAAAAAAAAATGATTGTTAATCCAAAAAGCAAGCTGCAGAAGTATATAATAATCCCATTTATGAAAAGTTTAAAATAAATGCAAAAACATGTAAAACTATACATATATGAATACACACACTATATAGTATTTAGAGATTTATTCTATGCAGGGAAGAATTAACATAGCAGGCCTAATCATTTAAAGGGTCTGCTTACACTAACCCTTAGTTGGCACCTGGGGACCTGGCTTTCAGAATGTTTCCTCCATTACCAACTGATAAGGTTGTGCCTGCTATGCCAGCCTGCCTAGACTGTTGTATAAACACTCTGATTTGTGGTGGACACCTGCCTTTTTTGTTCAGGGAGTATAGAATTGTAGTGGGGAGAAGTTGCCTATGTCACCTGCCTCCAATAAAAATGGGCTAAGTCTCAAAAGGCTTCCCTAGTCAAAAAGACTACACTTTTTACTGCGTTTAGTGCTGGAGGCAATGAGTGCACTCCGTGTGGCCCATGTGGGGAGCATAGGAAGACTGACAAGGATTCCTCCCAACTCCACGTGATGCTTCTTTTTCCCTCACTGATCTGGCTGGGTATCCTGGCTATGTGGCTATAATAAATCTCAGTCATAAGTACAACTATAATATAAGCTGAATCTCCAGAGTTATAGTAAATACTCAACATGCGGATGGTAGTGGGACCTCTGTCACAAGTAGTGGAAGAAGTACTGACACAAATGTCAGCATATACCCTTATGTGGTAAAAACTATAAAATAAAGGATGGGAATGACGAAAAACTGAAATTCAAGAAAGTGGTTACCTCTGTGCAAAATGAGAGAAAAATGGGATCAAAAAGGGGCATACAAGTATAATCAATAAAAGACTGATTTCCCCACATAGCAATACATTGCTTTGGTTTTCAGGAAACAACCAAATTTGTCAACCTGGATTAGAACTTCAATAGTTGCCTACTTTCCTGAAAAGCTAACTTAAGTATTATTTTAGAAGTGAAGAATGTCTGTGTTATAATTTGACAATTCAAATTCCCAGACCTCTAATTCCAAACATAGGAAATGTCAAATTAAAATTTTCATAAATACCTCCAAATTTTATAGAAAATCAATGTGAATATAAGATTCCTTTTTAAGAATAAGACTTACCAAACAACTAAAATGTACCTAACTACATTGCGTATTGCTTCAGTCATTAAAATATTAAACCTGTACCAGCTTTCCTTTTTGCCTTACCTCTCTGCTCGGTGACCTAAGACAAGTATCTTTTATTTTAGGTGTTGAAGAAGGCACTGATATTGCAGAATTTGTGCTAAAATCATCGAGAAGACCTAAAAAAAAAGTAAGATATTTTTAAAAGGAAGCATAGGATAAAATCTTTTGGTTACAATTAAAAGAAGCCCTATATGACATGTGAAGAAGTCTGCAGACTCTTTAAACACAATTCTTAAATGAAATACAGACATCAATTCAACATTCAAATGTTACTAGAAGGCGTCAGGAACTAAAAAAGACAAACACGATGATGAAGAAATATGTGCCAGATCTTCTTTCAGAGCCTGTGTAGAAGACACTTTTCCATAATCTGTGTTTATTTCTTTGATTGGCCTATTCTCTTACTTGAATGTTTGATGCTGCTGACCCGTACTTAGAAAAGGTTTTGCCATAATCCACCGTTTCTTTAGAAAGGGGTGCCAATCACCGAACATTATTTCAAGCTCTCCAGTGATCCCAAGAATTCTACACATTTATTTCTATTTTCTATGAAACACTTTCACTTGTCTATGATAATTATTTATAGATTTCCAGACTACAAGAATCTAGTGTGAACTTAAGAGAATGACAACTTATTCTCATTTTTGCCAATATAATCCTCGGTGTTCCAGAAGATACATGAAGGATTGCACATGTACTCAAAATTCCTGGGAAAATCTTTCACATATATTTAAATGCTACAACATGACAAATTTATATTTTCATCCATCCCAATCCTCAAAGCCCATTTGAAAATGAAGCTTACTTTTTTCTTCAAAACAGTCTTGTAAGATTACCAGTATGTTCTGGCCTTGCCCCATATTAATGTCAGGTACCCTAATAAGAAGGAAAGAAGGAAAACTGTTAACATATTCCCAGAAGGTATCTGTTATTTAGGTTACCATCTACTCTGAAAATTCCTTATCTCCTTATAATAAAATGCTTTGGTTTTTATCTAATGGGGAAAATACCACTTTTACTATCTGAGGACAAAGTAAATATTTGAAAGTTCAAGAGTTCCCAGAAAACTATGTGAAGTAGTATGTCATTATCTACATTAATAATTATACTCCTTGGTTGAACAGCCATATTTAAAGCTATTTTAGGCTAATGATGTATCTAAATAAGAACGTAAACTTTTTTGAACAAATCCATTTATTCCTGAAATAAGTTTTTAATAAACACTCTAAGTTCACAAGTCCTAACTCCAAGTAACAGGTGTCCCTAAAAGTTCTCAAACGCACTTTTGATTTA